TGCTACAGAGTGAATCTGGGGTTTGTAGCCACAAGATGGTAATTTGGGGCAAGATATTCAGCTCAATGGAGCGACTCATCTCACCTTCACTGTCCAGCAGCCCCTTTACTCCAGGGTAACGGTCCCTTCTGGGCAATAAACCCGAGCAGGCAGAAGCCAGCGCTGCAAAGGGCTGACAGGAGGCTCTGCACAGCAAAGGAGAGGCCAGGAAAAGGACCCCAGCGCTCGGGAGATGCGGCTTTCTCACCACCGCCCACACCTCTGCTCGCCGTTCCCTTCGTTAGAAAATGAGAAGAACGGCAGCACCTTCGGTAAACGCTCCTCAGGCACCCGTCAGAGACCAAACCCCAGCGAGCCCCTCTCGTGTCCATCCCAGCACAGAGGATGAGCTTCAGCCGTAAATGTCCTGTTCTTTTAAGGGAAAAAACCAACATGTGGTGGGAGACTTTGGAGGAAAACAGAGATTTCGCCATCTCCCTCTGCCAGATAATTCCGGTTACCTAGGAACAGACACACTGCTCGAACGCAGCCAGTTCTTCTCATCAAGCACAGGATGAGCTTTTATTGTCTTGTGATCAGAAAAACAACACAAACAAAAAACCAGAGCTCCAGGAGTGACATGAAACATCGCGCACATCCATGCCACGTGATGCCGAACAAAACCAGGAGCCAGGTCCAGGTTAATGGTGTTAAGAAGTCTTAGAAATCTAATGTAAACACTTAAAAACATACAGAAGAGTCCAAAAACCAAACAAAGCCACAGTAGTTCAGGCAGTGTGTTAACTTTCTGGAATTACGGTTTCTGGCATCAAAGAGGATGGAGGGGGGATGAGAGATGGCAGATCCCGTCCGGAGGGCTTCGGTGAAGCTCAGCAGAGATCTCTGGCAGTGTGTGGTTGTGATTTTAGTGTTTGGCTCCAACCATTTTGGTGGGCAGGCTCCGAAGTACCCCTTCTCCTTGCATGAAGCATTTTCCACGCTGCTGAACGCGGGTGCTTCGAAACAGCCCCACAGACTATCCATGGGGTGAAAAAAAAAAAAAAAAAAATAGAAGCAGGATGCGGAGTTCCTGACAATGCTTCTGCTCTTGGTTCCTTTGAAATCTCCAACCTGACACTTTTAAAAAAAATTTTTTTAAAAAAGACTTTTGAAAAAGTTTGGCAAGAGGATGGCGAGTGGCAGGGCTGGAGGGAGCGTGGTACACAAGTGCACTGTGTTCTGGCTTCCAAGTACGGCAAACCTTGCCCTCGGCCCCGTGAACCTCCCCTCCGTCCCCTGTAGTGCAATCATATTTCCAGGGAGTTAACCGCCAGGCAGTTCTTTGATCAGTCTCTGATGGCAAGCGACAATGATGGCAAGCGACAAAGAACACTGAAAATGACACTTGACACAAGACAAAGGCACCTAAAAGCTTGACAACGCGCTCAGGTCGTGTTCTGTTAAGAAGGCTTCAAGCGTTTGTACTTACAAGCACATTGCACACTGGCAAGAAAAAAAAAAAAAATCCCTCGTGTTGGGAGCACGTTAAATATCCCAGCCCCAGCCAACGGCCGGTTCTTCAGCAGAGCGTCAGTCGTGCTTGTAAACGGAAATTCCGGGCGGCTCTGCCCTCCCATCCGGGTTTGCTTTCGCTTTGGCCCTGGTCACGAAGCTGTCGTGCAGACTCCGAGCTGTACGTCATGGAGTATTTCCAGTCTGACACGGGAAAAGTTAATGGAGCAAATGGGCAGTTCTGCAGGGGCGATGCGGAAGGAAGAATTCTCCTTCGGGAACTAGTATTTGATTAGATAAGGCACATGTAGAGACAGTTTTCAAAAGATCACTTGCAAATCAATTCCACCTAGCTAGGACAACCTCCCTGTCCCTTTTCAGGAGCCAAGTTTGTTTTCCAGTTACTCAGGGTGAATTTGGAGTGACTCCACTTACCCCAGAACAGCTCTGGCATCCCCGCCGAGCCGCCCGGGCTCCGGGTCTGCCCCACGGGATGCCCAACACCTCCCAAATCTCCGCAGCGGAGCGCTCCGTCCTTCACGGGATCATTGGCCAAAAACTTTCAGAGCCAAAGACTTTGAACACTCAATTCCCTCTAAAAATAGTGGGAACTGACCTCCCAGTTTTGACAGGTTTGAAAAAATTCACAGCAGGCTGTTGGGGGAGAAGAAAAATCTGCAGCCGTTGCTGCTCGGGTCGCTGTAGGACATGGGGGAACGGGATGGCTCAGGGTACAGGAGTCCTGGTGTGCACACACAGGATGGAGATGAATGACGAGACGGATGCTGGCGCTCAAGGAAAACAATCCCTCCCAACAGCTCGATCCTCTCTTGAGCCGATTCTTGGAGAAAGGCAAAAATCCCTCTCTCCCTGCGTGTCTGTGGAAGGAAGGTGCTGCTGGCTGCACCGAGGCAGAGATCTGCGCAGCCAGCAGTGGTTATGAGGACTAACAACCTCTCCTTGCTCTACCAGACCCCACTGCAAAACGTTTGGATTTCAGCTACGTCGTCAGAGGGGAGAATTAAAACGATTTGTTGGAACAGAATTGCTCCCAAACCACATTGGGGCTCCGGCACCGAGCTCAATGGTTATCTTGCATCCGGCTACTGGGAGCCCAGTAAAAAACGGGTGTCCCAGTAGGGCGAGGTGCGTCCCGTGGGGCATTTCTGGGGTCAGCACAAAGCCTGGATGCCACATAACTGGAATTCAGGTGGCACAGAGACCTCATGCTGCCTCCCCACAACAGGGTGAACAGCACCAGCCAGGTCTGAAGCCCAAACTTCTCCCTATCTTCCAGTGGGCTTTGAATCAGGCTTTTAGCGAGCACTCGTTAACCAAATGAGATGAACCTGCACCTTTGAAGCACACGGATCAGGCAAAAACTTCTGGCAGCAGGGAAAGCAAGACTTGTAGCACAACGACAGTCCCAGCTGGGCAAACGAGGACTCTCACCCGCAGCGAGCACCGTTATCTAAAGGATTCCTCACCCCAGAGCGCGAGCAAATGAGGTCGTAGATTTCACAAATACCTTCAATATCCCTAGTACCGAATCATTTAGGTGTAGTGTTTCCCTTAGAGTGAAAAATTCCAGATTATTCATCCAGGAGAGTAAACACCAGTTGCTACTCATGCTCCGATTGCGTTTGTGACAATGACAGAGGACTCGGCGGGGTGCTGAGCGTTTGATGAAAATGAAGCAGGGAGGTAGGAGAAGGAGCAGCCGTGGGGATGTCAAGCTGGTCGTGAGAGGATTCCCTCGAGCAAGGGCAGTGAACAGTTGGTTCCTCAATCTGCAAGGAGGCAAATACTGGTAACTCAACACAAACCAAAAAAAGCTTTTGGGTAAGGCCGTGCAGAGCTGCGGAGGTGGCGAGGGCTGACAGCTCGTATCTTCTGCAGTGACGAGGAGAAGAAAAAAAACAAAAAAAGACCCCCAAGGTGAGTGGGGTGCCTGGGGGGGGGGGAATGCAAATGATCTTTTCAAATATCAATAATAAAAGGACCAAAAAGAAGAGAATCCAGGCAGTTTGCAGCTGTGGCTGCTTAAGGCCATTGGTTTCCCGGGGGATAGTTGGGCACTGTGGGATACTCTGGCAGGCTGTTCCCAGAAAAATTGCTGTACTGGGCCTCCCTGCTTGGGGGGTTCCTCCACGCGCCGCTGTTCCACTCGTCCTGAGCTTTCTGAAAGCTTCCACCACCTCCTCGGTAGATTTTATGTACCTAAGGGATGAAAGAGAGAAGAGGAGGAACGTCAGCAGCAGGTACCCACAGCTCCTCCTCAGAGGCACTGCATCGTGGGTTTGTTTCTCTGGAGAGAGCTCTATTTCCAAGGAACAAAAGCACTAAAAGTGTAATAATACAGTGAACAGAGGTGCAAATAGATTATATCAACCCAAAACTTGAACCCGTTTCAGCCACATATCTGGGATTCAGGTTGGGGATCCCCCAGCAAGGCAACCAACCCCCACCAGCAGGCTGAGACCTCTCAAAGTCACACCACTGCTTCAGGGGGCTTCCGTCTTCTCTCCTCCTCGGCCATCAGTCTACCGACGCTTTCCAGACGGTCCTACCTCCAAATCCCTCTTTCTGCAGAGAGCCAAGCACCGCTGCCCATCCCACCACCTGCTGCAGGCCACCTCGAGATGCTTCACCTTTACCGCCAACGCCCATCCCGATGAGCAATGAAGCTTGCCTGAGCGCCGTAAAGGAATGTCACTCCGTGAAATCGTGACAACACCCAGCCCCGGCTGTCTCGTGTGATCTGGATTTCTCCTCTAGAAACTCCGAGAGACACCGGCTGACTGCACCGTACAGCCTTTAAGAGCAGTGATGGCTTCCAGCGGCTGCTCAGCTGCCTGTTCACATCACCGCGATACAAAGTGCGGATACCCCGAGTCAGAGAGACATCTGAAGCACCTACCCTTAAAATGCAGATGAGCATTGCGACCGCTGACATTGTAAACATGATGGCAGGGAACAGCATGAACACAGCCGCTGCAACGTTCGTGCTAAAGAAGGTGATGGCTGCCAACCACCCGCTGGAAGAAACAGAAAGAGACCAACTGTATCTTTACAGCTCTCTTTTTAAAGTGTTCTTATTAGCAGAAAAAACTGTTTATTCACTCCCAGAAATTAAAAGGCAGCTTTAAAGCTCTTGAAAACAAAAAGAACAATGGTGAAAATGGACAGAATTAGATGCAGCTCAGGCAGGTATTTCCCCAAGATCTCAAATCTCGCTTGCCAGCATCCCTTGCTAATCCAGGCTCGGAGCTTTAGGGGACAGCCAGCTGCACAGACTTTGGGCAGAGAAGATTTATTCCCAAGGTGCTTTTGGTTGCGTGGAGATTGTGCGTCTAGAGACCAGACCTGGGAACAGGGAACGTGAGGGTGCTGTGATTTACGCTGCATCTCCGTTCCTCCGATGGCAGTAACCAGGCAGGGCACCTGGAGAGCATCAACAGTTCAGAAAACAAAGTGCCATACGAAGTGCTGGGACTTTCTACGATTTGTAACTTAAGCAGGAATTGCTCTCAAGTCACTAGAGGCAGAAAGTTAAAATGCCAAATAATTATAACATAACCAGGGACAGACGCTAAAATGCTCCCGTTTATTTTAGGACAACTCTCACAATACTCGCTCTCTAGGCCAACAGTGAGTCATCGCGCGCTGCTCGCCATGTGCTGCGGGTAACGCTAAGACAGGATCAGATGCATCTAGAAACCGGCTGGTTAAATGGTAAAAAGAAATGGAGATTGGACAAGGGTGCTAAAAAGAACACGCAGGTGAAGATATCCAACTTCTGCCAATACAGCGATGAAAACAGAACTGTGTACTCCCAGAGCAGATATAATCACACCACGGAGGAAAACAGACAGCTTCTCCCACTCCACCCTGTGCACACTCCTCCCACCAGTTTCTCAGAAGTTCAGGGAACAGCCCATCGCCGGCAGCTCTCGGGCACGGGAGCCGAGCGCTCGGCTGTAGGACCATCAGAGCATCCTGCTTACCAAGCTCCCCATCCGGAGAAACCGATCGCCTGCAGGACGGTGAGAATAAACTGTGCGCCGAAGATGAAGAAAAAGGCCATGAAATTGAACGAGCTGTCCGACCTGCGAAAGAAGAGAGGAAGTTAGCGGGAGAGCGGCGCCTCGCGTTGCTTCACGCTGATGTTTGACCCCATCGCGTACAAACCCTCAACCGGGGAATCTCAGAGATCCCTCTGCAGCTCTGGACTCTGGAGGCTGCTCCTCTCTCCCTGGCAGGGAAAGCACTCAGAGCCATGAATCATCAGCGCCTAATCTCCTCCAATAAAGCCTGGCTCCTGCAATTCCTCCACCAAATAATTGCATCTATGATGACACCCGGGGAGAGGCAGTCTGCTGCAGAACACAGAGTGCCGGAATCATTTCTCCGACCAAACGCCTGCAGCCAGCACAGCCTGACCCCTGCGCAGCCCAGCCACCGGCAAGTTGGCACGAGGGGGATGAACATGGGCAGGCAGAGCTGGCCCATACGCTAAAAGGGATCACTGAGCATCAGAATTCCAGCTGGGAATGTCCCAGTGGCTGCTTATCATCCACCCACGGTTAATAATCCAGCGCTGGGACATAACAGGGGGAAAAAACAGCCCCAGGAGAAGCGGGTGGTTCCCCAGCCGGGGAAATGAAGAAGCTTTCGCAGCTTTGCGGGCTCCACATCTCCTGGGTGTGTAGGTTGAGAGGGTCCTGGATATGTGAGGTCCTTTAATTTCTGCAGGTGTACCCAGCAGCATGAGTGTGATCCCAAAGGAGAAGGCTGAGCGGGTGCGTTCGTGGTCTCTCTGTCATGGGGCACAGCACTGTCTCGCCCGAGTTTTGGCTCTGCCACAGAACTGCAGCAGAACACCCATGAAACCAGCGACGTCGATGAGCCAGCCTTTCCCTGTAAGCCCAGGCACATTTAAAACTCCCCAAACTATCATTTTTAATGATACACAAACGATTCCCGTTCTCTCAGGAACTCAAAGGGCCCGTGATTTACAGAACGGATTTACAAAAAACGCTTCAGTTTCTTAGGAGGCAGCTTGGGGGGAGTTTACAAAAGAGCTCCGGTCACTCCCAGCTCCTGCTCCAACCCGGAAAGTATTTTAACGGTTACTATTATTTTAATATTTATTAGTATTATAATTCCAGCCCCTACTGCCTAAAGAGGAGAGGAGGGAGGCAGGACCCCAGGCTCTGGAGGGGTCAGTGCTGTGGCCGCTGTAGTCCCAGACCAGTGGGAAATCCTCCAGCCCAGCCCCTGCCACCCTGAGACGCACGGGTTGGGACAGTTCCCTTCCATCTTTCCATGCCACAGAGATGCTGTGAAAGAAATCTGTCAGCTCCGAGTATCCTCATGATCCCACCCTTCAAATACCACCTCAGAATACAGCAACGGGCAAGGAATACTTTAAACATGGGCTGTTCGCAGCAGCGCCCATCATAATCCAATTAACAAGGATCAGGCTCAAAGCTGAGCCTTCAAACAGACTCTTACAACTCCGACCTGGAGGAGTCTTCGTTTGAAAGGATCTGTGGGAATTAGCGAGGATACACAGAAAAGGTGATTTCTGATCCAGCTTTCTGGTGCAGATTTGCAGCAGCTTTGCCCTAGCGCCAGAGCTCTGCAGCTAATTTAATTTTGGATGCAGCCGTATGACGAAGGTTTTACGAAAGCATCTCCGCGGTACGCGATGCCAAGATTGAGGGGTTGCCTCTTCCCAGATCGAGCGGGACTGACCTCGCTTGCTCGAACCACGACGAGCTGCGATCCCATAGAAGCAGCGCTGCCCCGCTGCCGTGTTTTTCAAAGCCTCTCCTACCACCAATGTCAAAGTCAATGATCTCTGGGCTTGCCAGTCTCTCCCTGGGGCTTATTCTTTTTTTAAACTGTACAAGTCTTTATACAGAGTAACCTCAGGGACCTCTCAGTATTCAGTTGTATAAACACATACAAACAACATTAAAGAAATAATTAGAAACGGTCCCTGTGAAGCCCAGAGGTCACCAACGGGGAGAAGTAATTTTTCCCAGACTTCAGAATGGAAACTGCTCTTTGAACAGAGCTCCAGCCAGCGCTCGGAGGCTGTCGGGCTTCTGAACTGGGGACGGGGAGAACACCCCAGCCCCAGAGGGCAAGAGTTCAGAGCTGGGATTTTTATGTCTTTTAAAATTTTCAGATTAATCCAGCCCAGTGGCCTTCCGTTTCCATCAGAAATAATGCTCCTCTCTTCTCCATGATGCTTTAAGCACCTTCGGTGCATTAGCTGCCCAGGGTTGTTCGTATACAAGGCGTAAATTCAGAAGAGCACTTAAACAACTCATTTAGCATGTGCTAAACAGACAGGACCCCACCTGCCAACCCCCGTTTTTATGAGCTGCTTTTGCTGTTGTCTGAACCAACTCATCACAGAATCCGGTAATAATCCAAAACCACAGTATTCTGTTAACGGGGAACCAGAAAGAGCTTCACCTGCAGAGTCCAAGTCCCTGACTGGTGTGTGGGGTCTGCTGGGGACCCTCATTGTGACACCAGGCAGGTCCCTGCCCTCCTCTGCGCCTCCTCTCCCTGCATCAGGCTGGAAACTGCTCGGGACCTTCACAGCTCCGCCAAGCGTTACGCATTAATGTCTGAATAGTGCCTCGTGATCCGCAGCAAGCATGAGCGAATGCAAATGATAATTAATTAAAGTGAAAATGTAGGATAGCTTTAAATATTTGTGGCTTTTCAGAAGGACTCGCTCCAGGGAACGGCTTTTATCTTAAAAGCAAAGCAGCCAAGCTCTCACATATCTCCAGACAACAAGCCAGAAGAATTCTCAAAAACTCACTGAATAGTCTTTCACCAAAACAAGCCTCAATGAAGCTTTACCCAATTAGCATCTATTTGAATGTTATACTGACATGAGGGTGCTGCTAAGCCTGAGATATTTCATCCTCATGGAGGGCTGCTGCTGCTCACCTCCAGTCCAGGTGACCCTCAGTCCTACATCTTGTATTTAAAAGCAGGCAGGTGGTTCTGTGCTTCGAAAGTAACCAAGACATCAGACATCCAGCCCGTCATCCCAGACAGAGAGATCTCCAGAGGGGCACTCCCCGGTAACAACACATCTCTCTCCCAGAGGAAACAGAAACAAACCCACCTCACGGGCTTCTACTCACCGAAAGGCTTTGTACGCGGGTCGGAACCAGCAGACGTAGCCGCAGGGGCTGAAGAGGAGCAGCCAGAGGATGGCTAAGCCAAAATTCACCCCGTAGCCGCCTCCGATCCACCACGCCAGGCACGCGATTATGTTCACTACCAGCGTGATGCAGTAAACTGTCAAGAGGGCAGAGGAAAGAACGTGAGGTTGTGCGGCTTCGTACCATCACGCAAAAACAAAACAACCACCCGGGGTTAGACCAGGCAGGTTTGTGCTGCAGCGGGGAACTCCTGCCCAACAACACAGCCGTCCCGAGCGAGCTGCGGGTTCCTGCGTGGCCCCAGGGCTGGCAGCACAGACACATCCATGTCCAGAGGGACAAGGACACTGTTGGGACCTGCCAAAGGATGGAGAGCTGGGGAGCAACCTGTGCGACTCATACAAGACTCAGGCCAGCGTTATTATGAATTACAAGCAAGGTGCAATTCCCCTGTGCAGTAAAACCCCTTTGTGAGCACAGAGGGGTGTAAAACGCTGCCCTGCACCCAGCCTCAGTGCGACTTTGGTCTCCGTGTTTGCTGAGCCTGCCTCAGGAGCTATTGCAGAGCCAGCACGGCGCCTTGCAGCCTCGCTCTCCGCTTCCCTGCGCCTCGGAGGAAGCCTGGGAGTCAGCTTCAGGGCTTCTAAGTGCCGCCTTGAGCGAGGGGAAAAGCAAACTCCAATCAGGCTGAAAACACAGGACTGCAGGGGTGGCTTAAAGGCCCTTTCCTGTCCCCATTCCTGGCACTTGGATAAAAAGGAACAGTTGACAGCCCCGGAGCACACCAGCGCTGCGCCGAGTAGATGTGCATGAAGTGATACTGCTCCCCGCTTTGCCTGAAGCTCAGCGCCGCTGCAAAGGGGGGGCTGCACCCTTCCTGCGCAGGCTGAGCTCTGTCCCCGTGCCGGGGGCTCCCTGCTTTCCCCTCAGCACCCCAGGGAATCCCTGCAGCTGCCTCCGCCAGTGTCGAAGAGGCCCAGCCTAATGAGAAGCTCATATTTTGGAAAACGGGTGGTAACTCTGAAAAAACTTCGGTGGGAACCTGTATAAATTACCACGGATGAAGAGAAACGAGAAGGTGGAGGGTCCAAACACAAAAGACCCTTTGGTATCGCATGGCGACGAGCTCACAGGAATGCTTTGACCTCGGTCTCATTTATTCAGTCAAAATTCCATCCCTGAATTTCTCTTCACCCCTGGGAAGTGACCGTGCCCTGCCTGTTCCTCGCTCCGCTCCATGCGGCGGCTCTGCAGGCGCCTGCACATCCCTGCCTCGGTCGTCCGATGCCCAGCGCCAGCCTGGCCTCTCCTGCCTCGTCTCTTTCCTCCTCTTGGCACAGACCCACCTGCCTTCATGCAGCCCAGGGGCTGCTAAACAACTACAAAGTTTTTTGGTTGTAAAATAATATTGATGCAGTCGGGAGAATCTAGCGTGGAAGGCATCCGAACCCAGCTGCTGCTTCTGACATCCAACTTACATGAGAGTTCAAATCAAACATTGTTTTACTATGGAAAAAAATTCTTTTGCGTAGCTAACAACAAGGCTTGATGGTTTGGATGTATCTTAATATTGGGCAGAAGAAAGAATTTTAATTACTTAAATTTCATTTTTACAGTAATTAGCTGCACTTCTTCAAATTTTTATTTTCAGGAGTCATTTATTCTCCAAAAGCTGCTTAATAAAGAAAAACACCAACCGCTAAGCCAAGAGCACCTCTAAAGTTTTAAGGAACTGGTGGCTCTCCCCCCTCCTGCCAGGTGAGGGTTTGCTCTCCAGCAGCGGGAGCTCTGGTCCAGGTTTCCCCAAATCCCCACCCACCTTCATAAAACATTCACATCCAATTAAAGTAATGAGCATTCAACCTTCTAGCGACGACTTTTGTGCTTCTATTTTTAACACCGGCCTTTTCTTCTCTACCGCCTTCCCTCCATACGTGTCTCTCTCCCATTCTATCAACAAAAAATCAGGGAGACCCCAAAAGAAAGCATGCTGCAGCTGGAAATTTCCTGCTTAACATGCCAGGTCTCCTCACCCACTGTAGATCCCCAGTGGTTGGCCCCTCTCCAGCCTGCCATTAACCGGACTGAGGGACGCTTTGTTTGAGCAGAGCCGCAGACAAAGGCAGCTTTACAACATGCAACATTTAACCAGTTAGTCTGAAGGGACAAGCAGTTTCTTCAGGCAAGAAAACTACAGAGCTCATTTCAGCATCTCTAAATAACGACAGAACAACGGCGGGATAGATTCTGCCATTATTTACGCACACAAATCTCTCTCGTACACCCATCCTATGCATCTGGAACAAAAGCCGTGCCACCAAATGCATATCTGGCAGAAAACAAGCTTTCCTGCAGTGGGAAGAGTAAATAGGATGACAAGCATTTGGGGGGAAAAAAAAGATAAGCAAGGCAAAAAGATTTTTTTTTTAAATCTTCCAAAGAATTCCCCATGGTTCTCAAGGCTTGCCACACCGTTTTTCATCCAATTTAACTCCTTGGAGAAGAAGGGTCAGTTCTCATTACTGGTTTTTGAATGGCTAAGCCAGCCGAGCCAAGCCCAGAGCCGGGAGGTCTGTTTGTACAGAAGATCAGCACACCACCAGCTGTGGCCAAGAGGCTCAGCGCCTTCGCCAGCAGGATGGGGAAGGTTTTGTGGGCTATGGATAGCTAAAGAAGAGCCAGCACACAGATGGGAGACACTGCTTGGATGGCCCAAACAAGGAGGAATTTTAGCCTTCCTCTAGCGAGGTGGGGAAACAGGCTGCCCAGGGAAGTGGTGGAGTCACCATTCCTGGAGGGGGTCAAGAACCATGTGGATGTGGTGCTTCGGGACATGGGTTAGTGGGTTGGGTGGTGTTGGGCTGACAGTTGGACTTGATCCTTGAGGTCTTTTCCAACCTTAATGATTCTATGATTCTAAGTATACAGGTCACGTTTATTTTCTTGCCTAAAATTCTCCTATTCATCTCAGCTTAGGTGAATTGGGAATGACTTGAAGAGTGCTACTTGGGGGAATAAAACATTGATGCTATTAAAGGTATCAAATGCGGTCTTCCTTTTTTCCTCCTCAAATTTACTACCAGACTTTTCTAGCCTCAGCAGCAGCTCTGCGGCAAAGACTCAAGGCACAGCAGCTTAAAATTTGGGCATGAAGTTCTATGACAGTATTCTAAGATGAATCATTCTTTCTCATCAATGAGTTGCACTCAAAACTTTCCAGCATTGAGATCTATGGTTTTTCACCACACAAACGTTTTCCCAGCACAGACTTCTTATTCAACTTACAGATCCATACGTGGTAGATTCTCTTCACCAGGGACTGATAATCGATGGGAATTTCATCCGCAAAATTCTGGTAGAAACACGGTTTCAGAGGGATAAACTTGGGGAGCGGTGGGAAGTTATTCACCTTTTCTACAACGCAGAACAGAGACGTTAGTTGAACAACACAGAAACATTCGGCTGAGCAAGTGGAACATCCTCCAGACCTTCCAGGAACACACCCATTGACCCTCAGGTCAAGGGGACTCGCAAGAATCAAGAGAGAAAAACCATCGCCAGCTCTGGCCGTTCACGGTACTCACTGCAGCGCCTGGGCACTGCACTCATCCTCACCGCGGGCACCGCGCTCATCCCCACCCCGGGGCACCGCGCTCATCCTCACCTGGCGCACCGAGCTCATCCGCACCCCGGGGCACCGAGCTCATCCTCACCTGGAGCACCGCGCTCATCCTCACCCCGGGGCACCAAACATTTTGTTTTCCTTCCTCAGCAGTGGACACAACATTTAACCGAGCACACACAAGGCTCAGAGTGAGGAACAGAAACGAGCCAATAGGCAACACACAATACCTTTACACATTGGTGTAAAGTTGCACAAAATGTGCTACAAGAGAAAAAAACCTTCAAAGAAGCTCCAGAACGAGGTTCCCCAGGAAGGAGGGAGAGGCCAGCAACACCTGGGGGAAAACAGGCTGCACGGAGGTTTTCAGTTACAAAAACCAAAGCAGGAGGAAAGGCTGGTGATCATCCAGACAAGCAGGTTTACCATCAGACATAAGCTCTGAGTAGGTAGGCTTGCTGGCGCATGGATCAGGCCTTAGGACCTGTAGTAGATACGTTCCTGTGCCGGGAAGGAAGGGTGCCTTCGGGAAGCATCTCTCAAACTGGAATTTAGTACTCAGGTGTCATCCAGTTCAGGGAAGGGAAGTCAGATGTCAGGGATGATTTTGTTGTGACAAGACTCATGAATGTACCCTTTTTTCTTTAAAAGTCAAGTTTTTCCCGTAAGGTTAAGCCCCAGAAAAAAAAAAAGGGAAAAAAAAGGGGGGGTAAAAAAAGGAAAAAAGCTTTGTGTTCAGAGACGATCCATCAGATGCTGACAAAAGCAATATGGCGAAGAAAAGCTCACCTTGGGTAGAAATGATGTTTTAAAATCAAGTAATTAAATTCCTAAATCCTCTGCATTGAAGCTGCTGTCAGCTTCTCGACAGATGCACAGATTTATCTGCGTATGTGTGTGCCGGGATGTGCGTTCCTACACGTTTGGGAATGTTTGCTCTTGCCTTCCAGTGCTGATTAAAGTTTGATTCCAGAGCATTGTGACTAATTGTCTCTCATCTACTTCAGCCTCAGTAAACAGAATTAAAAACAACCAGAGGAAGGGATGAAGAATGTCCTGGGAAAACCTCCAAATGGCACAGAAGACGAGAGGAAATGTCTGAACAAGAACTGTCAGCACAAGAGTTCCCCTTCTCTCGCCATTCTTTCTGCGTAAGAAGACATTTCGCAGGAGCAGCTTCTGAACTTCATCAGAAGGTTGGCAGGGAAGAGCCTGACGCTGTAAGCCAGGCTTTAGGAGAGAAAAGGCTTCACTGCACGCAAAGGAAAGGCGTATCATCACACAGAAAACACGGTGAGGGTAACACCCACTGCCAGGACGTCAGAATTAAATACGGAATAATGTCTGAAGTCACCGGCCCAACCTGACTTTGCACTGGACTTTTCCTTATAAAAACAAACATTAATTCTTCTGCCTCTCCCCACCTGTCCCTATGTGCATTTCACACTCACTCAGCTGCCCTCCAGAGCGGGTATTAGTGACTGGTTAACGCCTACCGCTGCCCTGTGCCATGGAGCGCTGATGTCCCATGGATGCTTTCAAAGTCCACGGGAATTTGGACTTCTGAGCACTCATTTTCTCTTTGCCATCAACACCCGACGGGCTCTCTCCTGGCCAGTCTGGCTCAGCAGCCTACAGAAGGACACCATAATGCCGGATCAGCGGAAAGGAAGGGGGCACAGCTTGTAGAGCTGAAGAGATGGTCTCTAGGAAAGTCAGTCAGACCAAGATCAACAACCACAGTTAAAACAGATTCTCTAACATTTTTTTTTTTTTTTGAGGGACAGGGAAAATTTTGTTCTGTCTCTCTTTACCAGCTGAAGCTGCAGCGAGTTCCGCTGATTCTGCTCTCTTCTGCAGAACAAATCTGTCATGGGCAGCAGAGCTGCTGCCAGTCCCCAAATGGTGGGGCCAAAACCAACTGGCCTGCCGGGCACCAGCCACTGGAGTTTGTTATTTTTCAAGCTCCTGAAATGCTCCAAGCACTTTCCCCAATTGTTTGCTAGGTACACAAAGACCGGGTGACACCTCTTCTCTGTGGCTGCCCAGCTGCCACCAGCCAGCTGATCACTTTTTCCCACCCACAGACCTTCTGGTTTTCAACTGTTCTGGGTTACTTCCAAGAATAGACAAAAGAAATCAAATGAAAATATCCCCTTTCATGTCTGACTGCACAGCTCGGTGTGCTACAGCACTCCCATCGAGGCCAGGATCAACACATCCCATCGGCAAGCACAACCCAGGCTTTCCAAAACCACCGATGAACAGCAGCTGTCTGCCAAGTCCCGGACTTTCTCTTATCTTAAAAAAGTTGGGAGGAATTTTGTGACTAATTTCACTGTAAGTAAAATGAAGATGTATTAGTATCAATAGTACAGGTAGGAATGCTGCGGAAAGCTGTTTAGCCTCTGTAAGGAAGGAATTACTCTCAGGTACTTTTTTTGTGAATAAATTCCATCCTCATAAAACCTTCAGACAAGTCACACCTGAGCCTTTATCGCTACGACAGTAATCTCAGCTGACAAATCTACAGCATCAAAGTGAACGTGTCCAAGGCAAGAAGAGAAGCAGGTGAAGAGCTTTAGGGGTCACCGAGATCTCCGGAGGGGCGACACGTCGCATACCCGCTGCGTTACAGCCATCCCAGCACACTGGAATCATTCTCTGACACTGTTCTCCCTACATTGCCGTGTTTTGAAGTGCTCTTACCTGCCATTTCTACCAGGAGTGTTGCTTGGTGAAGTTTCAGACAGATAGCAGCAGATCTATTGGAGAAAAACAATCAGGTCAGCTCATGTCACTAACCAGCACCCAAAGAATCTCCTGGAATCGGGAGAATCTCTGGTGCAACAACAGACTGCGAGCCCAGGGTTCCCACTACAAACAGCTCGTCTCCAATTGCCCAAAGTTTCTGGAACCTCACAGAAAGGATCACAAATTCTCCTTGGACGTATAAAGTTCCACCTGGTAGTAACTCATTCAGCACAACCCCACTGTCAGCCCTGTTTAAGGTTTGTATTATCCAGCAGCAAATAAATGTGCTCCCAGCAGTACCTGGCGAAGGCTGGGGACGAACAGAGCTGCTGCCAGAACCCGGGCACCTTCCCACTGCGGCCAGACAACACGCCGAGACAGCCAGACAGCCAGCCAGCCTTGCTTGGGACCCAGCAAAGCGCAAACATCAGAAGAGAAATTTGTACAAGCTCACCAGACTTAATGCCTCATTTAGGTGTTGAGATGATTTGTTGGCTCCTGGCTCTCTGGGGACCTTCCCAACTGCTGAAAGAAACAGATCATCGCCGTTAGCTGGGAAGTAAACTGCTGTTAAAAAAAAAAATAAAAATCAGCTGGCACACAAAACCCAACATCCCTCATTATTTTAACAATTCTGCACAACCCTTCTTAAAAGGCAGATTCATTCTTCCTGTTACCACCATTGAACGTGACCGTAATCCTGCAAGAATCAAATCCTGCAAGGTTTGCTCAATGTTGCCGATTTTGGCGGAACTGATCGCGCAGAGGAAAGCCGCAGAGAGGTCTGTGCTGAGCTTTGATTCTACCCCTTCTTCATTAAGGACAAAAACATTGTGTGCCCCTACCTGCAAAGGGATGGAAACACAGAACCCCCCCCAAAAAAACCCGCTAAACCAGCGCTGCAGGCTCCGACAAGAGTTATCAAGAAGGAAGTCTAGACTGAAAAAACTGCCCCTTGAAAAACACAACCACCCCGCGCTGCTGCCGGCACCGGCGTATCCAAAGCCCTCAGGATTTACAGCTGCTCGTTCCCCTGCTCTGCACCTCTGTGCCGTCCTCCTGCCTGCCCTGTGCAGGATCTGGAGGTTGCAGGGGTTACACTGGTGCAATTATTTCCTTGGGGCTGCATTTACTTTCCTTTCTAACTGAGCTACTCGAGCGCAGTCCTTGGCGGAAACAACAGCACCCTGATAAGAAGCGGGACCTGCACAGGCAGCTGATTCCTCCTGCGCAGAGAGATGCCGTTATACACAAGCTTATCTGTGTCTACATGGAGGAGAACGCGTTATTTTGCTTGTTTCCCTCTAAAGAAAGCACCAGAGTGTGGGCAGGAACACGTCGTGACCGGCTCCGGGCTGGGACTCCCCGGTTAAGGGCTCCGCACAAGGAGCCCTGTCGCAGTCGAAGCCTCCGGGCGTTCCCACAACACAGACGTTACCCCGCGTCCGACAGGAGGTTTAGAACGGACGATTTAGAAATGGAAGCATTTTGCTTTGCCTTTTTTAAATGTGTGTATAGAAAACAAAGTATGAAGACAGTTCAGAACGCAATGAAAGCCTTGCTACACCCATCGGCAGCTGCGCCCAGCTGAGATCCCGCAATTTTGGGGGAAGAACGAATGGTGCATGAACAGCGGTTAACGCACCAAGAGACAAGGATCTTTCACTGAAAGATGAGAAAACGAGTCAGGTCCTCCTTCAGCAGAGCATTATTTAGTTCCTGTACTTCAGTGCCAGTGTCTCACAGCTGCAGAGCGCTGGGAGGCATCTGTCTGTCCACGGGAAAAGGGACGAGAAGGAAAGACCGAGGGACACTTTCCTGGCTTGACGGGGGCATCATGGCCAAACGGCAGCTCTCCTGTGCCCTCCCCTCCCAAGGGGACAACTCTGGTGAGGCTGAGTGGCTTTGAGGCAAATAAATGAATAAATAAATAAACAGAGAAAGCAGCATTCCGGCAATCAGCTCCCCGCTCACCTTACCCGGCTGTTCTCTTTTCCTAATCAATCTCAGACACCATTCAATGCTTTGAAGACAGAGAACGTTATCACGTAAAGAAGCTCCGACAGAAAGTACCGAATATTCCTCTCCTCAACCATCTTTGCTTTCATGAGTAATCCCACTGAAGTTCCTGGGACAACAACCACCATCTCCCTACACAAAGACGTATTTTGCAACCGCGAAGCAGCATTAAGAATATTTCTTTCTGCACAGACAAGCGCCTATGACCAAGTTTTACACTGAAGCAGCAGTTCCTGAAATGTGCTGACCTTCCCCCGGTTCAGCTGCGCAGACTCCAGCCCTGCTCCCGGCGAAAGGAAAAGGAGCTTTCCCCCACGGACACCTGCGGCAGCAACCTCAAACCTTTCACGGGGATGAACTCGGACTCCAGGATCCAACCTGACAATAGTTTTGTTTTGTGCTCCTCGATATCCTCGTGCGGTAGTCGCTGTTTTCACGCCTCCCCAGCTCACTGCTTCATTTGGGCAGGATTTCGGCAAGTGCTTCACTGCAGGGTCTCAGGATAACAGGGCTCAGATACCGGGGAAAAACCTCCTCTCTAACACGTGATGACGTTGCTCAGCTCGGAGGTCCGGTGGCTACAACTCCTTTAGGGGGAAAATTTCACCGTGCAGCCTCAACATCCTCACGTCAAGCTCCAGTTGGGAGATCCTGGCGTAAGGAAATAGTTTTGAAGCAACTACAGATAAACAGGGACACGGACAGGGATCATCCAACCTCACGGGAATTTGTGCAAGACACATAGAAATAAGCTCTCTGTTCACCGGAACGCTTTCAGTTTAACTGGGAACCGATAAAAATCAACCCCTGGCACTCCACTGCAGCAATTTCTTCATATAGAATCTATTATTTGCAGAGGGAGGAAAAAAACCAGAACCGCTAAGGAAACCATGGTGGGAAGTGAGCTTCCTTTTTCCGCTGTGCTCATCCGTGGTCAATGAATAACTCCAAAGTTTACAGCCCGGCGTGCATGAGTCACGAGAGCCTGCTGGAGACAGTCGGAGCTGTTCTTCACCAGGATTTCACGGACACAAACACCCTGTGTCATGTGAAGAGACGGCGTTTTCCTTCTAAACCAAGACACCTATGCAAGTGACACCCTTTTCCCTCAGCAGCCCACAATGCAGTTACTTTGAACATGACTTTACCATGAAACACATTTCATCTTCTAAGATTAGGGAAAAATTTGTGGACAAAGACCTGCGGCAACGTGCTTGAGGCACGTTATGTGACCGCACAGGTGTTACTATTCTGACCCCTTGTTTTGATATAAAATTTATTCTGCCTATATTACAGTAAATAGTTTTCAAAGTTTCATTTCTTTCTCACTACTTCTTTCTCCAAAAAGAGAGAAAGGTGTTAGGGGAAATAAATAAAGGGCAGGCCAAAAGAGGAGTGCTGGCAGGGAGGCAGGAGGTGAACCCATCCTTGCTTGGGCCAGTTCCCCAACACCAGCTTCATGCCGGCTCCTCTCATGCCATCTGCAGCCAAACCCAGAAAAGCCCGACAGCCTAAATTTTCCATCTAGCAAAATCCACCAGCTTCTGAAGCCTTGCTTTAGGCTATTTTCTGTACTACTTTTGTATTTTCACCCTGATAGGATGACTGCAGCGAGGCCAAGAGCTTCTACGCAGCTCTGCACCCAAGGGTTTAATCTAGAGCACTTTGCCGAAAGCGAGTCGAGGGGCAGGATCCATACATAACAGCAACAGAACTTACCAGCCCTCCCTCGTCAGACAATTATTTACTGCTCAGAGCACAAGCGGAATGAGAAGACCTGGGCACAACGCCCATCTCCTGAAAGCCGTTCGAGCTCGCCGCTCCGGCAAGGGCTGCCCCCGGAGACCAGGAGTCGCTTC